TCCGTGTGTCTCACTCGCTGAATCACCACACTTTATGGTATTGTGTTACCCGAAGGACTGTTTGCATTTCGGTGGTAATGAATCTCACTAGAATGTTGTTACAACAAACAAACAAAAAATCAAACGTAGCTCGTTTTTAAACATCAATGTTTGTTTTGTGGCAGTGAAAGAGTTACCGTTATTGTTGCTGTGGTAATGAATCTGCGGATGTTATTAGTACTGTTGCTATAAAAACAACAATAATACAAACCTGTTTCATTTTGAAACATCAAAGATCATCACTGTTGCTATGGTAATGAGTTTAAGAGTTTCATTACTGTTGCTATAACAAGAACAAAAGAAGTCTGCTTGTTTTGAAACTTCAAGAATCATTACTGTTATTGTTGCTATGGTAATGAATTTAAGATTGTTGTTACTGCTATTGCTATAACAACCACGTCTCACTTTGAAATATTAAAAAAACGTGTTAAAAAATCGTTGTAGTAACTGAAAAAAATCGAAGGAAGGCATTTAGTTAATCGATAAAAAATCGTCGCAATGCAGAAGAAAAATCACACAGCAAAAAAGAAAAAGAAAAAAAACACAAACAAAGTTGAAAGATGGAGACATTAACCTTCGAACAAGACGTTCTATGCAGACAAAAAAAAAGTGTATACGTCACATTTAAAGTTGTGGCTGTCAAAGAAAGCGTAACAGAAACGAAAAATAATTCAGTACTTGCCCTTTGACCTCCAATAAGGTCTTTGTCAGAAAATTCTGAAGACATCCTAGATGGTGATCGAACTCCAAGTGGCAACATATATTTATATATATATATACTTAGGGTCATTGTATTTTATTTCTTGTTCAGACTGTCTCGTATGGTCGATTAGAGATTAATAATTCGTTTATTTTGTAATTCTCTTTACTAAACCTAATGGTACTGGTTTGAAGTGTTTTTCTTTAAGATGAGTTACGCTTTACGTTATTATTCTGTCTCTGTGTATGTGTGAAAAGCTGAGAGCTATGTATCTGTTGGAAAGACGCCTACCAGGGATGAGACACTGTAATAAAAAACAAGTAATTTCTGGTTTAATGAGCACAAAAAGGAAACCTAGAGTGATTAAGTGGTTTATAAAACTGTCTGGCGAAGTGTGTGACTTAATAAAAACCTAAATAAAAAGTGTAGCCCCTCTGGTGGTCAAATCCATCAAAATAATTGCCTCTACTTCAAATTCCTTTAAACCATTTAAGTTCCACTTTATCTAATATGATTGAACTCCAAGTTTACTTAAGAATCCCCGGAACTATCACTTAAGGGTACCCGGAACTACTATGAAGATTGTTAACATGGAATATGCCCTATTATTAGTTGTCTTCTTATTTAGGGACACGATTGGCTCAGTTTCTCCTTAATTTGTTTAGCTCTAACATCACTGTTATAACCGTGCTTGATTGTACTTGCTTTCTTGCTAACACCATTTTCCACATGTGGATGTTGAACAGTTCCAAGCTACCGAAGATCGGAGAATAATGTTGTATATCTTTAACAACTGGTGTTATTGAAGGTGTTAAATTTTTCTCAGACTTCTCCCCTTAACAACTGGTGTTATTGAAGGTGTAAAGCTTTTCTCAGACTTCTATCCTTAACAACTGGTGTTATTGAAGGTGTTAAATTTTTATCAGACTTCTCCCTTTAACAACTGGCGTTACTGAAGGTGTAAAGTTGTTATCATAATTCTCCCTTTAACAACTGGCATTACTGTAGGTGTAAAGTTGTTATCATAATTCTTCCTTTAATAACTGGCGTTACTGAAGGTGTAAAGTTGTTATCATAATTCTCCCTTTAATAACTGGCGTTACTGAAGGTGTAAAGTTGTT